GAGGTTGCGGTGAGCCGAGATTGCGCCATTGCACTCCAGCCTGGGTAACAAGAGCGAAACTCCGTCTCCAAAAAAAAAAAAAAAAAAAAAAAATGTTCAATGTTATACCTCACTTACCTGGAATCTGAGAGGGGAAATGCCAGGCCTGTGGTGGGGTCAGAGAGGGTCCAGTGATGACTCCCCCTTTTTTTTTTCTGATAAAGTGAAGTGGTGTGATCTTGGCTCACTGCAACCTCCACCCCTGGGTTCAAGCTATTCTCCTGCCTCAGGCCCCTGAGTACCTGGGATTACAGGCATCCACCACCATACTGGCTAATTTTTGTGTTTTCAGTAGAGATGGGGTTTTGCCATGTTGGCCAGGCTGGTCTTGAACTCCTGACCTCAGGTGATCCACCCGCCTTGGCCTCCCAAAGTGCTGGGATTACAGACATGAGTCACTGCGCCCTGCCCAGTGATGACCCTTTTGTGCAGCATTGGTTTCAGCCCTCAGGAAATAGTTGTGGAGAAGTCAGGATTCTGAGAGAACTGGGCAGCTGTGGTGTGGTCAACAGTGGTGGGGTGGGGTGTGGAGGTGACGGTATAGGGAAGGACCAGGGGGTCTTCAAAGCGTCTCACAAAAGGAGATACCTCAGAAGGGATGCAGCCTGGACAGAAAGAGAAGGAGGGGCCTAGAGAAAGGCCAGAGCTACACCCTTCCTGGAGAGCTTGAAAACCAAGGTGGATTTTCTCATCGTGAGTGGACACTAAGACCACCTCTCCAAGACCATCCCAGACCCACGGAGTCAGTCATATTTTTTTTGTATTTTAGATTTACTACAATTTAAGAAAGAATCCCTTAAGTGAATTTACATGGAAAGAGGTCAGAGGAAAATTATTCTGTCCCCTAATGGGAAGACCTCTAAAAATGTTCACAACACAGATTTCCCTCTTTCCAGCAAATCCCTCCTTTGTGCGAAGTGAGACTTCATTGCTGGAAAGCCATCTGCCTCTCTTGATTGTGCTTTTAGGAATAACTCCTGTTAATCTCCTTTGAAGGTTAGTTGCAAATTCTTCAGAGTTTTTTTTTTTTTTAACACAAAGGGAAAGAAATGGAGTGGTTGTCATTTTTATCAGAGAAGTTTAAATGTCTAACTGGCAAAGCAGGTACCACTCCTCCATCTGCTGTTTATCTCCCTCTACCTCGCTACTAAGGAGATGGTTGTTTCACCTGATGAGGTACAGTATTTATAACCTGAAAGGTTATGACTGAAAAGATGAGGATGCTTTAAGCCCTGCCATCAGAAACTAGTGTAACAGCGTGTGTGTGTGTGTGTGTGTGTGTGTGTGTGTGTGTGTGTGTTTTGAGGAGGAGGGGGCCACTGGCTGCTGCTAAAAAGCGTCACTCCAGAGGCTGTGGCTCCTCATCCCCTGGCCATCCCCAGGAGGAGCAGGACCACCTCCCAGCATCCCCCAATACAGTCTGGGGTTGTGTCTTTGCTTCCCTCTTTGCTGTTAGCTTCATGGCTGACCCAATGGCCAGAAACACTGCCAGGCCCTGACATTGCAGAAAGCCAAGGACTGTGGCTCCAAATCAAGCTGAAATGAATAGCTTTTGTTCCAAAACAATGCTGTGAGCCAAGAAAGTGTCCATGCAGATAAAGCTTGCAGTCAGTCTTGCACAAGGAGCCCCAGCCATGTTTTGCATGCTGTCTGAGTAGCTGGCGCGGTGCCCGGAGTGCTGAGTGGTGAGGCTCTCCTCAGAGCCTTCCCTGTGCACCTGATCTTGGCCCACGTCTTGAGATTGTGGTTCAGCTGCGAATGCTTGTTTAGCAACAGAGATTGAAATAGGAAATCCCTTTCCTTAGTGTTGGCATAAGACATTGTTCCATCCTCTTTCCCTCCTTGGGAAGGTTGGAGCCTTCTAGCTTCAGGAGCAGGCTGGCTGAGAGGGAGGGGGCAAGAAGGATTTTTTCTGATTCAGCTGTCTTCTGATATATCCAGGTTAGTCTACACCTCCTTCCTGTCTGCCTGGCCATATCATGGGTTCCTTCCCAAGTTCGCTTCCTTTAGGAAGCATTCATTGACCGTCTGTTTTAGTTGATTTTCTATTGATAAAACAGAATGCTTGAGATGGGCTAATTTAAAAAGAAAAGAAGCTTATTTGGCTCCTGGTTACGGAGGCTGAGAAGACCAAGGGCATGGTGACAGCTTCTGGCAAGGTATTTTATACTGCACTATAACACGGCAGAAATGTGGAAGGGCAAGTGAGTGCATGCAAAAGAGACCTCAGGGTACTAACTCAGTCCCTTGGAAATGATCTCACTCACAATCAGCATTAATCCATTTATGAGGCTCTACCTTTACTACCTAATTCCCTTTTAAAAGGCCCCACCTCTCAATACTGTTACATTAGCAACTAAGTTCCCAACACATGGACTTTTGGGGGACACACTCAAACCCATAGAAGCATCCTATGACCATGGTCCCTTTTCAGCTCCTGTTCAATTAGGATCTGTATGATTCATATGAGACACGCTTTTTTTTTGTTTTAGACAGAATTTCACTCTCGTTGCCCAGGCTGGAGTGCAATGGCATAATCTCTGCGATGACCTCCACCTCCCAGGTGTAAGCGATTCCCCTGATTATTTCCCTCTGATACAGAAAGGTTTGCTCCTCCTTTTATTCTACTTGGTCATACCATGGGTTCCCTTCCAAGCTCACTTCCTCTAGGAAGTATTCTTTGATCATTCGTCTTAGTCCATTTTTTGTTGCTTTAACATAATACTCGAGACTGGGTAACTTACAAAGAAAAGAAGCTTATTTGGCTCACAATTATGGAGGCTGGGAAGTCCAAGGGCATGGCTATAACCAACTCATGGTCTTTCATCTTTGCATGCCCTCCTTTTTGCCACCATCTATAATTTTGCAAGACAACTCAAACACTGTTGCTCCTCCATGAGAGCTTCCATTTTTCTGTGAATGACATTGAAGATCTATTGTGTCCTGAATCTATTTGCTCTCCCCATGCATACCATGCAGTTTTACCCATTCATGCCTTTGCACATGCTTGTTCCTCAGTCTCAAATGCTCCTTTCCTCCGTAGCAGAAGCGATAGCTTCTTGCCAAATAGCCCATGTTCTCTGAGTTAGGATTAATGGGCCATGAGCAGAAGTGTTGTGTGGGCTTTCAGGCTGAAGCTTTGATGGGCAGGTACCAACTCTCTATGATTTTCTCTCTTCCCCTGCACAGTGATAGATGGAATGAGAAACCACAAATGGTAGCAGCCAAGACAGCGGAGTCAAGACATCAAGGAAGGTCCCTGGATGTGGCCCAACTTGACTTAGTATTTTCTTAAGAGAGAGAAACCATTGTTGAGTTAAACCTGCATTATCACAGCATAATCGAAACTCTCCTGACTACATTCTCATTTTCTGCCAGTTAAAAATCTTCATCTTTTAAGTATCAGCTTAAATACTCTTTCTTTAAAAGCCTTCCAGAACCAGCCCACCCCCAGTCAGAATTGATGTCTTTTCTTTGTGCTTTCACAGCCTGTGTAACTTATGTCTATTTGACACTGAACGCCTGGAATTACGGTCAGTCATGTAGGGTCAGTAACAGAATGAATAGGAGTATGCATTCCAAAGCCAGACTGACTGGTTCACATATCAGCTCTGTCATTTACAGACTGTCATTTACAGCAGTGGGACTTTTGATGAGTTACTTAGACTTCCAGAACTTGGGTTCACATTTGTCCCTCAAGAACCTACCAGAGCATCCGTCATGATAATTATATTAAAATATGTCAATAATTATGTTAAATAGTACCTGTTACCAGTCTCCTTCTTTTTTTTGTCTTGCAGATTGAAACCAGTAAAAAAACATGCAGAACAAAAGATGGCGACCGAAATCCAAAGCCAGGGAGCCTGAAAATCAGAGGGTGTTACAACATAACAGGCGGTTACAGGCCATGGCTCAGGCTAGGCCTGGAATAGACTGTGGTTCTCTTCTACAAATCAATCTAGACTGGACAGACAGAACTCTGAGGGAGGAAAGAAAATGAATCTGATGTTACTTTTGGAAACCACATTTTCTGAAGTCACGATTTTTATATATCAACTGATCATTTTTATGTATCTATCAATATGATTTTCTGATCTTATGTTTTCCTACTAATGTGATAAATTACCTTGATGGATTTTAGAATATTAAATCACCTTTGTATTCCTGGAATAAATCCTAAATGGATGTTTGATTTTTGCTAATTCCTTAGCAAAAATGCTAATATTTTATTTAGGATTTTGCGTCTATATTCACAAGTGAGGATTTTTTTCCTCTCCTGACATCAACCAATTCTCCAGTTCTCTAACACAAACTGAGTGTCCTACAATTCAATTCAGTTTTGACACTAACTACCCAGAGTTGGAATTAGCCTCCACAGATTTAAGGGCTCAGTCCCACAAGACTGTCCCAATCAGACTCCAGTTGCAAGTACTAGGCCGACCCATACTTTTGGGCAACTGGTTATAAATTGGGGATTCTTATGACCACTTCCTGCAGGCTTGACAATTTGCTAGAATGATTAGAGGAACTCAGGAAAGTGCTTAACTTAATATTACTGGGTTATTACAAAGGATACAATTTAGGAAGAGCACGTGTTCACCAACCTGGAAACCCTCTGAACCCCATCATTTAGAGGTTTTAACGGAAGTTTCATTACACAGGCATGGAAATGGAGTCTTACTCTGTCACCCAGGCTGAAGTGCAGTGGTGCCATCTTGGCTGACTGCAACCTCCATCCCCCGAGCACAAGTGATTCTCTTGCCTCAGCCTCCCGAGTAGTTGGGACTAGAGGCAGGTACCACCATGCCCAGCTAATTGTATTTTTCGTAGAGACAGGGTTTCACCATTTTGGCCAGGCTGGTCTTGTAGTCCTGACCTCAGGCAATCCACCTGCCATTAGCCAGGCTGGTCTCGAACTCCTAATCTGAACTGATCCTCTCACCTCGGCCTCCCAAAGTGCTGGGATTACAGGCATGAGCCCTACATAGCCATGGTTGATTAAATCATTGAACATTGGTGATTACTTCAATCTCTAGCCCCTTGTCCCTCTCTCCTCCCCAGAAGTCAGTGGGTGGGGCTTAAAATTCCAACCCTATAATCATGCCTAGTTCTTTTTTTTTATACATGCAATCTTGGCTTATTTCTGTGTAACATAAATTATTACTCTTACCAGTTCCTGAAACATTTAAAACTTTAGGAAACTTTAGTTTCATTTATCCCCTTCCTCATTTTGTGTTGTTGTTATACATCTTTAGTTCTACACATGTATTTAAATTCCATAAGACATTATAACTATTGGGTTGGCAATAAATATTCATTAATAATCATCTATATATTCATCCATTCCAGTTTTTTTTTTTTTTTTTTTTTTATAGACAGGGTTTTGCTCTTTGCCCTATCCCCCAGGCTGGACTGGTGTGGTAGCACAATCATGGCTCATTGCAGCCTTGGCCTCCTGGGCTCAAGTGATCTTCCTGTTTCAGCCACCTGAGTGGCTGGGAATACAGGCAGGTGCCATAATGCCTCAAATGTAAAAAATGGTTACATTTTTTAATTTTTGTAGAGATGAGGTCTCACTATGTTGCCCAGGCTGGTCTTAAACTCCTGGGTGCAAGCAATCTCCAACTTTGGCATCCCAAAGTGCTTGGATTAGAGGCACTCCTGGCCTATATACATATATTATATATATATATATATATATATATATATATATATATATTTAATTGAAATATGATATTCACTCTGAAAAGAAAACATGTACAGATCAATACATTTTCACAAACAGAATGTTTTACATATATTTTAAAACATTAAATTCTGTTTAAAGAACCAAAATTTTGTATTTTAAGAACACATTATTTAGTGTTCAGCAGATGGTCTCCTGAGGAAATGTGTGATTTCACACTATGGGCTGTCTTTGTCAGCCCTCCCAGATTGCCCCATCTGTGACTTGATTTTTTTTTTCTGCTTGTCAAGGTGTCCTCCTCAACTCAATTCACCTCTGCTTCAGGCCAACCGAGCCAGGGTCCTTTTGTCAACCTTCTGGCTTCCTTTGCCCTGAGGGACGGAAGCCTTTCTTCACACCCCAATCAGCTTCTCTTTCTGCACGTTGCTGATCTGGAGCCTTGCTGTCATTTGTGGATGAGACATGCCCTGGTCCTGGGAGCAGAGCCTCCCTTTGACTGCACCATTTGTTGGCTGTGCTTTAGCATCCTGTGGAGATTATGACTGAAAAGGCTGGAGACACTGATGACTGGTCCAGCAACAAGAGCTTGAGCTGTGTGGGAGGAAAGACTGAAAATTACAATAACAGTCATTACTGGGGAAGCTGAGGCAGGAGGATCGTTTGAGCCCAGGAGTTCATGACAGCCTGGGTAATTGCTAGACCCTGTCTCGTTACATAATAATAATAATAATAATAATAAATGGAATTATGGGGAAAAACAGGAAGTTAAAAAAGTTTTTTAGCAGTCACCATTCCTTAGGCATCTACTGTCAGGTGCTCTGCCAGAAACTTCTATGGAACATCTCATGAATACTCAAAACAATTCTGTGAAGAAAATATAATTACTATCTGATATGGTTTGGCTGTGTCCCCACCCAAATGTCATCTTGAATTGTAGTTCCTATAATCCCCACGTGTCACAGGAGGGACCCAGTGGGAGGTAATTTAGTCATGAGGGTGGTTACCCTCACTCTGTTCTCGTGAAAATGAGCCAGTTCTCATGAGATCTAATGGTTTTATAAGGGACTTTTCTCCTTTTGCTTGTCGCTCCTCTTTCCTGCTGCCATGTGAAGAACGTGTTTGCTTCCCCTTCAACCGCGATTGTAAATTTCCTGAGGCCTTATGAGCCATGTTGAACTGTGAGACAAAACTCTTTCCTTTATAAATTATCCAGTCTTGGGTATGTCTTTATTAGCAGTGTGAGGATGGATTAATACACTATCCAACTTCAAATAAGGAAATGGAAGCTCAGGGAAGCAATTAGCCTAGGGTCACATATCTAGTAAGTACAGAGAGTGTTTGGATCAGATTTAATTCATGCTCTTTGCTCTAGGTCCAGTCACGTCTTCTACACATATCTCAGCTACTGATATACGACTCAGCTGTTCCCATTTTCCCTGGAAAAGCAGGAGCTGGAAAGGACCATAGAGGTCATCCAGGTCAATCATCTCATTTCACTGAGGAGGAAATTGAGACTTGGATCAGGTCAGTGGTCGTCATTCTCACCCACATGCCATCCATACCCACGTGCTAGTGACTCCAAAGTACACACATTTCTCCAAAGGCATCTGGGTGTTCCCACCTCTCTGCTTTTGCTAACAAGTTTCCTTCTGCTGGACATCCCCTTTCTCCTCATTTCATACTGTTAATGATCTTTTCAGCTTTCAAGGTTCACTCCAAGCATAATTTCTCTCATAATTTCCTGAGTATCTGCAGGCTACACTCAGTAATTTCTACTGTGCAGAGGAGTGTTACCACAGCAGGCCTGAGGCTGCTATTCTTAGAAAGTCCTTCTTTCAAGGTTGGCCCGTCCAAGGCTGGCATGTAGAAGCTTGGATTTCAGGAGGGTTCCCATGATTCCCTGATAAGAGTGGCTCATTGTGCCTGGGCTGTTTGTGTAAACAGTATGGCTTATGTGAAACCTGCTTTCCTTCCAGGAGTCTGGAATCTTGGTGCATGTAGGCAGAGGTTGTCTACATGACCAGTTCCCAGCAAAACTTTGGGTACTGAGTCTCTAATGAGCTTCCCTGATCATAGACATCATCTCACACTTGTCACAGTGCATTACTGGAGGAATTAAACGTGTCCTGTGTGATTCCACTGAGAGGCTCTTGGAAGCTTGCCCCTGGTGGCTTCCAGACTTTGCCCCATGTGCCTTTTCCCAAAGCATACAAATTTTGCTTTGTATCCTTTCATGGTAATAAATTACAGCCATGCTGATGGCTATACTTTGGGTCCTGTGAGTCCTCCAAACAAATCACTGAACCTGGGAATCTTGAGTGGTCTCAGGGATCCCCAGCACACCTCCCATATGTTCTGCCATATGCTCAAATAAAGATTTCCTGCATTAACACCCAAATGTTCCAATGTTTTGGTTTATGAATCACTCACTCACACTGTCGAAAGCAAGTATGTTTTCTTCTTCTTTTTATTTCAATAGGTTTTTGGGGAATAGGTGGTGTTTGGTTACATGGATAAGTTCTTTAGTGGTGATTTCTGAATTTTGGTGCACCCATCACCCAAGCAGGGTACACTGTACCCCATGTGTAGTCTTTTATCCCTCACCCACTCTCACCCTTCCCCTAGAGTCCCCCAAGTCCTTTGTATCATTTTCATGCTTTTGCATCTTCACAGCTTAGCCACTTTTGTTTTTTTGAGACGGAGTCTTACTCTGTCGCCAAGGCTGGAGTGCAGTGGTGCAATCTCGGCTGACTGCAACCTCCGCCTCCCGGGTTCAAGCAATTCTCTTGCCTCAGCACCCTGAGTAGCTGGGATTAGAGGTGCACACCACCATGCCCAGCTAATTTTTATATTTTTAGTAGAGACGGGGTTTCACCATGTTGGCCAGGCTGGTCTCGAACTCTTGACCTCAAGTGATCCACCTGCCTCGGCCTCCCAAAGTGCTGGGATTACAGGTGTGAATGAACCACCGCACCTGGCCTATTTTTTAACTACAAAAATGAATTAGCCAACTTGACAGATACATCCGTAGACTGAAGACACCTGGTGTCATTGAACTTGGTTATCCATCTCCTTGTTCTGATTCCAAGCTCACTATATGTTTCAATATAAGACTCTAATCTCCCACATAGATCTTGCTACAGGAGAGGAACACACTGTTGGCAAAAACAGTCTGACTGATGATTATATTTTTCACTAGAAAGGAATTAACTCACACTCCAAGTTTATACCTCGACCTCTCTTAGTTTGGTTAGCATGAGTGTGTCCTTGCTTTCCTCTGTGTGATCTAATGAAACCAGCTTTTTGGACCTACAGAGTGAAGGACAGGATACTGCAACAGGACAGTCCACAGCATTGTTACCCATTCATCCCCAGTCAGGTCTTGTTGGAGACTGCAACAGTTTAGTAATATACTAGTGAGTCAATTTGTAGCTCTACTTGAAGAATGTTTGTGCCAAACAAGAGTTTCAATAACTAAGCTGTGTTGAATGATGTTCAAGACAATTGTTCTAAATTT